GCAGAACACATCTCGCTGGAGGAGATTTCGTCGGACAGCGATATTGGTGGCAGCGAGTCCCGTCGGGGTAAGTCCATGCACATATACTACACGGCCCAATCTTGGTTAGGAATATAATTGAAAACTACGTTATATACATTTAATTTTGATTTATCATAAGAAATGTTATCTGTACAACTGCACGTCATGAATTAATCTGCACACGGACTCATGTGCCATATTTGAATTTCTCGCAATTGAACACCGGTGCCACGTAGAAGGCGCGTAAGATGCACACATCTTCGCCGACGCCTAATACAATATTTTCCTCGTCCTCTTTGCCCACCTCCAAGGTGACCACAAAATCGCCCACCTCCAGGCAGCCCTTGCGACGCATATAATCCACCCCAAACTCAATGGGGCTATAGTTGCACTCATTGAGATCGGGCGTATATAAAACGGGATGAGTATTGCGCCGCAAATGCAGCGCACGGGCCAAATCGAATTTGCATTTAATTGTCAGTTCATCGTCATCATTGTTTAGCGGCATCATCATATAGACCGGGCAATAGATTTCCGAGCGCGCCAGAGCAACACTCGCATTCTCACACTTGGTGAACACAAATATCGCTTGGCACTCGATGGTGGCAATTGTTCGAATGATAAAGTTAACAATCGTCTGGTAGGAGGTCAGTATACTCTTGACTTGCTGCTGCGTCTGGACCACACCCACGCGATAGTCACGAATGGGCATAAGCTTTTTCACAATTAGAGGATACTTGTTGCACCACGGACTCTTCTGCATATGTATGGTGTCGATTTTCCAGAGGAACTCGTGCAGCTCAAAGCGCTTGAAGTCGTTGCAACGCTCCAGCGGCACAGTGCCAATGACAGGCTTTTTCTGACAGTGCGCAATGGGCAGGGCATCCTCCATGATGTAGTTGTACACGCAGCAATTCACATTGAACATGTCCGGTATCCAGATGTAGTCCAACAGCTTAATAATGCCAAGCAGATCCAGCATATTGTTGCGCACATACTCAAAGTCAATGCAGCCAATGAGCTTCATATCAAAGTCCGACATAATGGCCGTGCGGACAGCGCGCAGAAACGACTTGCAGCGTATCTTGGGTAGCACCACAAAGTTGGCTTTAAGCTCTGCGGCCGTTTGCAGGTCGGACAAGAATAGCTCTGGGTAGACTTCCGGTTGCAGGGCATGACACTGGCGCGGCAGCTCTATGAAATCGTACGAGGTCAGCAGACCCGCATCGATAATCAAAACGGCCAGCGCCTCGTTTAGCGTCTTGACCACACGGCAGCGCACTTCGCGTCCAATTAGCAGCACATCATTTAGCCGTATTGAGCTGAGGTAGGCGCGTAGATTGATGACGTAGACAATCTCACGGAAGCCAGCGTAGCGATAGGCTGGATTTGTGGTTAGCGTGACCACAGAGCCGCGTGCCAGCATTGTGGTGCAGTTGTTCCGTAAGCGACCCACACGACAACAGTCGCCGTTTATCTCTACGGCCAGGCCCGTGGCTGTCCTCAGTTCGCGCTCGTCCGCGTGTGCGGCTATGGCGATATTAAGTGTTTCCAGTATGGTGGCCAGTTCCTCTGGCTTAAAGGCCACCATGTCCACGTGGAAGGTGTAGGTGCCGTGCTCGAGCATGCGCCGCAGCTCATCGTGCGTCGTCTCCATGACCACTTTGGCCAGGAGGCCAATGTGATAGTAGCGACGCCTTCTACGCTTACGGGCATGCTTCTCGTGCGCGTCGCAAGCGGCCTTAAATTCGCGTAGTCTTTGTTCCAAGTCCTTTTGCCCATTGAGACGTATCGTAAACTTTTCGGGATCTACTTCACCTTCATGCTGTTGCTCTCCCTCCTCCTCTGTGTTCGTCAGGCTCACATTGTCTACTTCATCCGTCGCAGCCATGGCGTGCAGTCAATTTGAATTATAACTGAATGCTTTTGCTTTAATTTGAAAATTTTTACAGCTAAGAAATTGCGGAAATCAAGCGCTAAAAGAGCCGATAAAACCAATGAAAATAAGGAACGTAAGTTGAAAAAAATACAAAGCAAATACTGAATGGAAGCAACTGCCTACTATAACTAAAGCTATATACTTAAACGTTTCTATGTCTCCATTAACTCCATAAACCAGCGGGTGGACAAATCAGTGTTCTGGAGCTGCTCGAGCTGCAGGCACGTGCGCGTGCCATTCGCTCCCAACTGGCCATGGAACCCATTACAAAGATCGAGGTGAAGTCAGATGACGATGAGCAGATGTCAAAGAAGCAGCCAGACAAGGAGCGGCGCAGTCACAAGAGCTCCAATGCGAGCAAGCGAAAGTCCAGCGAGCAAGCCACCAAGGAGCATGCACAGAAACAAACAAATGGCAGCAAATCAAAGCAAGCCGCAGCTCCACAAAAGAAGATCAAGCTAAAGCGCAACTACCGCATCTCCACCAAGTCGACGGAGAAGGAGGATAAGCCAAAGCCCGCGCCCGCACCCGCGCCCGAGCCCGTCCAGGAACAGCACAAGTCACGTTCGGCCTCGCCGGATGTGATACCCATACCAGCGGAGCCGGAAACATTGCTCATAAGTGACAGCACCGATGATGAGAGCAAACAGCCGGAAACCGACAAGCAGCAGACGCAGGCAACAGCAACGGCAACAGCTGAGGTGCAGCCGGCACCTGCAGCACCCCCACAACCAGCTCCAGCTGAGGAAAGCGAGCCCGAGGAGGGAGAGGTGAGAGAGGAGAGCGAAATTGAAACTGAAACTCAGCCCGCAGCCAAAGTCGAGCAGGAGCAGGCAGCAGCATTGGAAGCTGATAAAGAAGTATTAGTGGTAATTGATGACGCTGCAATCGATGAAGACGCTCCAGCTGAAGAAGTTCCGGCAGCCACTGTGGAGTCCAATGTGACCGTGGCTGAGTCAGAGCGGCCGCTGAGCACGTCCGTCGTAGACGATGAGGATCAGAACGATGATATCATTTCCATAGGCGGTGATCTGGAACTGATTGAGGAGCTGGCCAAGGTGGAAGATGAGCCAGCTGTTAAGGTGAAGAGCGAGGCGCCCGAGAAGCTAGTCGAGCCGGATGAGGAGGACAACGATGTCATATCGCTAAACACAAGCGACGACGACCATGAGAAACTACAGGAAGCCAACTCGGAGGTAATATCCATAAGCCTATAAATATATATCAAATCTTAAACTAAAAGCATTTAAAATTCGTGAACAGTCGTGGCGTACACGCTACCTGAAGAGCTCCAAGGTTAGCCAGGTGCTGGCTGCCTCGCGGCTGGGCAAACGCGTGCGTGATAAAATCAAGAAATCGAATCGCGACCAAAAGCGCAACGACGCCAAGGAAGCCGGCGATGAGAAGACTTCACAGCAGCAGCAGCAACAACAACAACAGCAACAATTCACGTCCAAGCATGAGGATGGCTCCATGGAGCAATACCAGGAGGTTTTACAGCACCGGCAGCGCAAAAGTTCCAACGGCAGCAAGGGCGACAAATAAACGACTCGCAGCGATTTGTTATTGAAAAGTCGCTTAGTCGAATATTGCCTGGAGGCAAAATTATATAGCATATAATAAAAATAAACTCACATAAAATAACTACCAAGCGAACGCACAGAAAATTTGAATATTTCGTGTTAAGCGCATATTTGATTTTCCTCATGCATACCCTGTAAACAAAAGTTGTCAGTGGTCATGATAACTGTGCGCTTGCTGTGGACAAGAAATGCCTGATCTATTGTTCGCTCTAGGGTATGCTATATGCTATCAAGAGCAGATCAGTATTTATAAAACTTAGGGTATTCGCAGCGACTCTTTGCAAACTAAAATTCTTAATAATAAGAATTAGTTACTAAAGCATTTGTAAAATAAATTTATAGCATATAACAAATTGTATTTGTATTAAGCTACCTCTAAACCAGAGTATCTCGTGGTCGTGCACTCTCGACTCTGTTTAGTTATTTATTTTTTTGTGCGCTCGCGTTTTTAGTTTTGTTTATAGTTTAAAAGAAATGCGAAAACTATGCCTTGTCATTTCCGGCGTTCATTTGGGCCCCCCACAAAAAAAAATAGAAAACTTTTGCGGGAGGCGCCTTTAACGAGCCGCACGCTAAGCGCAGGTTACGCATACGCATTTGTATATGTATTTGTGGCAAGGATTGGAGGATTGGTTCAAAAATCATTACCCAATTTGTGGGCTGGTTTTTTTGCATTTGAAGTTAACCCAGTTTGGCCTTTGTCAGAGGACTTGACTTGGCATCAAGTTGTGCGGCTTACACTAACCACCCTCGCTTGCTGGGGGGGGGGGGGGGTGGGAGGCACAATATCATAATGTGTGTGTGTGTGTGACGAGCGTGTTGCACCATAAACGATGATTGTTTTATCAGAGACTGCGATATGTTGATAAAGTATATTAAAAAACTGTGGAGTGGCCAAGCCAAATAACTCTCTGAGAGTCGCTGCGACAGCGCATGTCCTCAGCGCTGAGGGTGTCGCACTCGCCTACATTTCATGTGTATGTGTGTGTGAGTGTGACTGTGTGTGTGTGTGTGCCTGCGAATCCATCAAGTGGGCGCGCTATATAAATCTATACATATAGACATATGAGTAGCTAATGCCAGTTGCAGCTCAATATTGTAAATGCTGCTAGAATCTATTCAAAAGCTGACAGCAGGCTCTGAAGTGGGCTAAAAAATATCTTAGAAATTTTGTAAAATTATAGGGTATGCTTGGCTAGCACATGTTTTTGGCCAGCACACGCCCACTGTAGCCCAACGCCCCCGCAACGAAAGTAAACAAAATAGCAACAGAGCGCCGCTTACCCATTCGAGTGGTGGTTGGGGGTTGGGGATGTTGGTGGTGTTGGTGGTGTTAGTGGTGCTGCTGCTGCTGGTGGTGGTTTTTTTTTTTTTTTTTGTTTTCTCCATAAACTCTCTCGTGCACTGGCTGCGCTCTCTCTCGCTCTCGCTCTCGCTCTCTGGCTGTGTGGGAGTTTGTGCATCCTTTTGGGCAATATGCGGCGACAGGCTGTCAAACGGAAAAACTGAAAATATCCAAAATTCAGTCTACAGAAAACGCGTACGTGGTGCAGAAGTAGCCGCGCGTGGCCACCACAACGGCGTGCTAGACTTGTCGGTATGATAAATAAGTGAAACGCCCTGTACAAGTTCTGTAAGTTTCAACAACAGCAACAACAACAACAACAACAACAGGAAGCAACAGCAAGCCAAATACGAATATGAAATATCAAATTGAAGCCCAACTCAGTGACCGATTAATGTGTTTAAATAAATAATAAAAATTTAAATAAATACGTGTCGCAGGATTTGAATTAGCCAAATGACACTTTCCAAGTGCTGGGCCAAGCAAGTGCATAACTTAACAATATCAAGTGCTTTCTTATGTAAACAAACACCAACAAATAAATAATAATAAATACAAAAAAAAAAGGCAAAAACAAGGCAAAATGTTGCTAATTTTGATACACGCTAAATTATTTTTGTTTAACATAATGCCGTTCATAATCCCGATCAGATCAGATACAAAACTCGTTACGTTGCGCGTTTATTTTCATATAAGTTTACACGTAGGATTAAGGTGCGCTCTCTGACTAGAGACATTGTGAGTCCCAGCCAAAGCCTACAAAAAACAAACCCTATCACTATAAATATTACGAGAACTGCAGTTAAAATATATTATATATAAAATAGTAGTCAAAATATGCGCTATACAAATTTGCTTGCTTCAAATTGAATTGAACTTAAAAACATTTAACAAACCAAATGAACATTGGCAAATTATAAATAAAATTCAACAAAAATTGGCTTTTTTAATTGGCAACAATAAAGAACTGTATTGCTTGATGCTTTTATATGCTACGATTCCTTAGATATAATACAAGTGCCGTTAATTTCTACTCGAAATTGAACCAAAAATAATTAAACTGAAATTGGCAGAGAAAAGTTTAAGGAAATTAACGCACAATATAACCAATATTATCAGAAGTAGATATAATCATATATAACTCTATATCTATCTATCTATAGCCCTTCAAATATAATCCAAACATATTGCATGCATTTAGGATAGCAGCTGAAGATTAAATCCCTGAACCCTGTACTTAAAATTTTGATGTATGTAAAGAAAAAATTATTTCAATAACTTTTGAAATAGGTGGAATGTACAAGAGAATATAAATATATAATCACAGTCAGCAACAATTGGGCTGCCCTTGGGTTCTATATTCTTTAGTTTTGCCGGAATCCTATGCAAGTTTTATCTTTTGAACACAGCGTCCTACTTTGCCACACACAAATGCAACAACGTTCCCATTCATTAGTATGAAAGTCACTTTAAAAGGTTTCTTCGCCATAAATTCGAAAATGATAATTATTTCCTTTTGCTTTTGTGGCTATCTACTTTTAGGCGCTCTAATGCACATCGTGCTTTGACGTCGCCATGACGCGCGCACACACACACACACACACACCCACATGCACACATGTGTGAATTTATGAAATTTAATTGGCCTAATAAATTTTGTGTGCTTGCTGTTTTTAATACCCTGCAGCCATAAAAGCGACTCAAGCGGGTATCATAAAGTTGTTTTAAGGCGGAGAAAGGGGCAGACAGAAAATTAATGGCTTATTGTATGTATTTAGCCAGGTCTATGGCTATGGGATGAAGATTTATGCACAAGTTTAAATTTGTTTAAGACTTTAAGCAAAGCAGCAGCAAGTAGAAGTAAAAACCTCGTATTCACCTTTTATGTCAATAGAAAAATTTCTAGAAAAACATTTCTCTTTATGTTTACACTACATATTCGGCCATGCATTGTACAGGGTATCCTCTAGTCTGCCACTCTTGTTCGGAGCTTCTGTTTTATTAAACAAAACAGCGACAGACACACACAAACACATACACACACACACACACATTTACACAACAAAAACGCATACGGCTGATATATATGTCATAAACTTTTATTAATAATGAAAATTGTACTAAAAATGGTGGGGCAATTTATTAAAAAGTCTCATTAGCTGACAGTCACACACACACACACACACACTCATGCACGCTGCGACGCGCATTTTATCGCGCATTACGCATACGCCACGATACGCCCTACGGGTGCTAATAACGTAAAAATAATAATATTATTATGAACGACGCACACTAAAAAAAAAAAAAAAGAGGCAGCCAGCGAAAAATCGCGATAAAGTAAAATTTCGATATGGACATTATTAAAGCACCCCCCCGCAACCCGCAAACCCCCTAAAATGGGGGTGGCTGCCATAATAACTCCGCTGTGAGATTAAGTATTTTTAATGCGAACGCCAATAAAAATATAAAAATTTCAACGATAAGCACGATAAGATCGAAATCAATTTTATTATAATGCATATACATATGTTGTATATATATATATATGTATATATATATATGCCTATATGCGACTGATAAACAGTCGGACAATCGTTTATAGCATGTGCTGTTGAAGCATTCATTTTGTTGATTTTCATTTTATTTTTGTTGGCGCTCTCTTCTCAAAGTCAAAATCAATAAATTTTCCACAATTTTTTCCGCCACATTCTCGTTGGCGTTATTTGGTTGCCTTTGGCTGACGCTGGACTCGGCGCCGTCGCCTGGCTCATTATTAATATTTTTACATTTTGTACGCCTTTTGATATTTCGCCTAGCATAGACGAAGGCGCCAGGCAGCCAACTCTATCCCCGGTCTCGCCCCCGCCCCCGCCCCCCTCCCCTCTCGACCACTAGGCGGCTGCTTAAGTGTTTTTCTATTATGGCCTGCCCATTTCCCATTTTCCCAGTGCCTTTTACCCAATACCCACAAATATTATATTTGCTTTTAAATATTTTGATATACAGCACAGTTGAGGCTTATAACTCGGCTCAGGCACCCATACAAACGCCCATGGGCAGGTAGCCCAGTGGGACCTGGCAGCCGAGAGAGTTAGAACAAAGTATCTAACTAGCACACAATATCAGCGCATAATTAATATGACTAGCTGCTTTCATATGACAGAATCGCTGCTCAGGGAACTACTTTTAGCATGCCTTTTAATACTGAGTCTGCACAAGAAATGTTAGCAGCAAATTGTATAAGAAGTTGTCTGAAAACTATTTCTCACAGGCGGTGAGTGGTGCCTTTTTCATGCATTTGTGTCCAACTGGGTACACAAGCAAACATACTTCAACCAGCAGCAGCAGAGCTGGCAGGCATTTTCTCATAAAAATTTCGTACTCGAATAAGACGAAGTCGCTGCGCACACACACATTCAAACACACACACACGCACACACACAGATACACTGACAGAGAAGCAAAAAGTAACCCGCAGGCATTTGGGATAGCTTAGCGGGCGCGGAAGGGGAATTCGGTCGCAAAACTTTGAGGCAGCAGCATGGCCAGAAAAATGAATGTAAAGGATGTGCCATGGCGACCGGGGGGACGAAGCCGTGTGTAACTGGAAAATAATATTTATTTTTTTTTTTTTCGTTTGCCTCTTTCCCAACTACTTTTCTGCCGTAGCATGTAATTCCCTTTTTGTTCTCCTTCTTCTGCTGCTGCTGCCGTTGCTTTCTTTGGGTTTCTTTTGAGTGTCAGAAATGGAAAAGAAAATAATTTGATGGTTTCATAAAGTCGCTGCATGCCGGCTGCGGGAGGGGGGGCGTAAATGTAAGTGTGTGTGCGTGTGTGTGTGCGTTTGTGATAAAATTGCAAACTTCCCCTCGCTGCGTATGTGTGTGTCGTCTGTGTGGAAGCGAGGACCAAAGCGTAGCAGCAAAAATTTATGGAATTCTTTTTTGTTTTGTTGCTGTTGCTGCTTATTTTTCGTATAGTTTGTGAAAATTTTTTCTGCGATAGATTTCACTTGTGCGCTCGAAAGTATTTGCTGCATACTTTTGGGGGGTGGCTGGTTGCCTTGCCTTGCCCGCCCGCCCTCCTGCCTGTGCGCGAGATAACGATGCCGATGACGATAATGACGATCGCTGGCTTCTCCCCCTCGGCCCTCCCCGTAGCCCCACACACATATCTTCGTTCGGTCAGATACACTTGCATTATTATAAAAATGATTATTATTTGTGCCGCCCTTGCCCAAAATAGCCAGCACACATACACACACACGCACACCCACACGCGAATGGCTTGTGTATATACATACTTATGTACACACACAGTGGTTGTCCTTGTCTCTGTGCCAGTGTGTGTGTGTGTGTGTGTGTGTGTTTCATTATTAATTTTTCTTGTATTTTTTCCACATTTTTCGTATTTTTATTTTATCTTGCCCTCACACACACACACAGTAACACATACGTACATTGGAGCGCTCAGGGGATGGAACATACACACACACACACACACATACACTCACTCATTTTAGTTTATTGTACAAATAATATTTGATAGAAAAAATTAAGTGCATGAACGGGATGGAAATATGTAGTTGTTCTCATTGGCTTTCCCTTTCGATTCGCTTTAGCAGTTCGAACGGCACAGCAAATATGCTGGGAAATTAATTTTTCACTCTGTCCGCCATTCGCCAGGCGAGAGATGCCAAAGTAAAAATGAGAAAAAATATGTATAAAAATTTAACTTAAGCCAAAGTCGAATACAAAATAATTGCCAGTATTATTGAGCGGGTGCATGTGTGTGTGTGTGTGTGAGATAGACAGCGTGTGTGTGTGTGTGTGTGTGTGGATGTTGTTGTTGCCAACGTACCTTCATTAGTTTCTAATGAGATTTCTTGCTAATGAGCACGCTAAGCAGAAAATGTTGGAAATTCAGCTACCAAGTCAACTGTAAAGGACATTGAACATTCATTTGTTAGGGTGTTCTATTTCGGTTTATGTCCTTGTATTTCTCGACAGACCGACGGGTTGTGCGTTATCCGTAACGCCCACGTTTCCCTCTTAATCTAAAAATAATAGTAAACACTTCAGGGAAACAAATTCAAATTATACAGTTTTTGGAATAGGAGTCAAAAGTCCTATTCTGAAATACAGTCAACAGTAGATAAAGCACTCGTCCTGAAGAAGCTGGACCCTGGTTCGAGTCCAAGGTGCCTTATTCGCCGAGGGCTATCGTAACCAGCGCTACTTCAAAAATTGGGCTAATGACTTTTAAAAATTATAAATTTAATAACT